TTCCTGCATCACCACCTCGTTTGATTTGTTCTGCCCAAGTAACAGTAACAAAAAATATAATTTTATATTTTTCATTAAATAAATTGAAAATATTTTGAAGGAATGTAATAATCAGTTTGTAGAGCAATAGGCTATATCAAATGAATATCTTTATATCTTGCTTTGGACATAGTTGTAACTCTATAAACTTACTGTTTTTTCTTCTCTATTAAAGGATCCAAATTTGAAACAGACACCTAATCATAATGGAAGTAAAATCAAACAATATTCTTTATGATTCAATAATCCACTTCAAAATGAGAAAAATAATAGTTTTTCTATTAACACAAACTATTAGAAACTATTTCTAATAGCTTTTCTATTAACACAAAATAATAGTAATACCTTTCCCATGTGGAATATGATTGCTTGAGGGTTCTTCATGCTTGCCTGCAGCATTCTCAGCAACTTTTGGAATGTTTTTAGGTACCGCATGATGGTTTATATCCAATTCATTTCCATCTTTTGATTCAAACTTGTGGGCCTCTTGCTGTTAGATTAAGATTTGGTAACAGTAAGTATTTTTCAGTTCAAAATGTGAAACTACTGAAACAACTATTAACTTAATATTCTGAAACAATTCATTTTTTTGAAATACATACCATGGGTCTAAATTCTAAACACTTAGAGATGTGGGATATATTATTTTCTGTTCAGTTTTTATACCTGATATGAATTCAGAGAATAAGTAATATTTTTTAAAAGTCTCTATCATAAATGGCCTAAAATTTTAGGCAGAGATAGTTCCCTTTGGCTATGCTGATAATTCTCTTTGGTGATTCTGTGAGAAGACAGTCTTGCTGAGCACTGTAGGTTGCTGTGGAGGCCTACAGTTTGGCACAGTCTTGGGTGCTGTGGGCAGAGTGGATTCTGTATAGGCATATGTTGTAATCGAGTAGGATAGCAGAGAGCAGGAGGATGGCACACAGGTGTCCCCTCAAGTGTGATAGATGGCTACTGACATTGTCAGGCTTTTCCCCAAGTAGAAACAGCAAGGGTAGAAAACAGGGAAACTTCTTCCCAGATGCACTGGCTACTCAAGCATAGGAAGGAATGGCAGAACAATGCACAAGTCAATGCTCCCTGTAACCTGCTTCAACTAACCATATCTCCTCCTTGGAAACTTGAATCTTCAGGTTTATGATTAGGTCTGACTCAATTATGTGGGGGGCCAGTTTTCTCTTTTATATTGGTTGAGTTGCCTCAGTGGAAAACTGGGAGAGGCAAGGAGTCAAGTACACATGCTTGGGTTGCCATATTAATATTTAATGCATAATAATATTAACATTAAATGTTCTGTCAACTCTAAAGCATTATGCAATGCAATCATTGGTAACATTATAAAAAACAATAGTACTAAAAAATCTACAGAAAATCTAGAAAAATAGGAGGCAAATTGTAAGAATGTGTCACAATAAAGAAGAAAGGGTGCTTTGACAATCAGGTGTAGGTATTCCCATGTATCTGGCAGATAAAATCAACAACAAACATTTGCACTGTGTTTCATAGTTAACAAATTGTTTTCAAGTCTATCCTTTAGTGGAGACAAATGAACAGTTTTGGGAAAAACAAAATAAAACTGAGGCTTAAAGAAGTTTAAGCAGCTTGTTCAAGATTACAAAGCTAGAGAAGTGTGGAAAAGGGATTCAAACCACAGTCTTTCTCACTCCCACAGTTTCTGGGAACTTGGTAAGAGATAGCCAATTCTGAGAGCTTAATTGCTGATGAGTGAAATGATAAACTGAAATTTCTGAACACATCAGTATGAAGGCCAAAGGTGAGAAAATCGTTGAGGTACAACCTGAGCAGCCATCCTGCATATCTGTGCACTTTTGCTGCTACATCATAAGGCTACTTCCATAATATTCCACTGCTTTTTGATGTGGATAAAACAAACAATAATAAACAAAACTTAAAAGTCAACAAACTACTGGTCAAAAATACTTTTCCATTTAAAACAGTTAATAAAGATGTTGTCCCTTTGATGCATTATTAACGGCAATACCTTTACGTGAATCGACAATATTAAATACTATTAACAAAGTAAGATGGCTTTCTGAATGCAGTACTGTTGATTTGGTAAGGGGGCCACCTAATTGCTTTTCTGTTTTTTAATAAATTTATTTGTTTTTTTATTTTTGGCTGTGTTGGGTCTTTGTTGCTGCACGAGAGCTTTTCTCTAGTTGGGGAGAGTGGGGGCTACTGTTCGTTGCGGTGCGTGGGCTTCTCATTACGGTGGCTTCCCTTGTTGCAGAGCGCGGGCTCTAGATGCGTGGGCTTCAGTAGTTGTGGCACGTGGGCTCAGTAATTGTGGCTCGCTGGCTCTAGAGTGCAGACTCAGTAGCTGTGGCACACGGGCTTAGCTGGCCCGTGGCATATGGGATCTTCCCAGACCAGGGCTCGAACCCATGTCCCCTAAACTGACAGGCGGATTCTTAACCACTGCGCCACCAGGAAGTCCCCCTAATTGTTTTTTAAATAAACTTCTTACTCTGAAATAATTTAGATTTATAGAAAAGTAATTACCCATCTCCCAATTTCCTTTAATGTCAACATCACATTAGCACAGCACATTTGCAAAACTAAGAAACCGACATTAGTACATTATTAACTGAACTCCAGACTTTACTTAGATTTCACCACTTTTTCCATTAAGACCTTTTTCTGTTCCAGGATCCAATCCAGGATACTACACTGCATTTATTTTATTTTATTTATTTATTTATTTAATTTTTTACTACATTGTATTTAAGTACTCAGGTCTTCTTAGTCTCCTCTGGTTTATAACCATTTATCTTTGTAGCATGAAAGCAATAAACAAATGAGTGTGGCTGTGTTCTAATAAAATTGTATTTGTAGACACTAAGATTTGAATTTCTTACAACTTTCCCATGTCATAAAATATTCTTTTGACTTTTTAACCATTTTTCAATGTAACGACCGTTTTTTGCTGATGGGCAGTTAAAAACAGGCAAGAGGCTGGATTTAGTTTGCTGACCCCCTCCCCAGAGTAATTTCCAAGACAGGAATGTACTTAGTTAAAAAAAACAAAAAAATCCCTCAATACAACTTATGCTTGTTTCATATAGCTTACAATGGATTTGTTCCTACGAAAAACAACTCAAATTTCACAGAATCAACTAGTTATAGTAGTCGAAGAACAGAGAATGAGGATGAGGAGTAGATTAGGCAGCTGGTATGTCGCCCTACAAAGGAGAAATGCTCTTAAGCATCTCCATTCCTCCCGACCTTGCTCCATTTAGGGCAGGATAAGTGCAAAGAAGAACTGGAGTAGATATTAGCTAATTAATAATGTAAAAATAGCCTATAATAGAAGAGCAGAAAGGGAGAACTACACTTGGCAGGAAAAAGGAAAAAGCTTATATACGTGCTTCTTGGGAGAAGAGAAGAGAGCAAATTCATCCCATTATTTATATACTGGGCTTGTAATAACACAATTGCAACAGCAAGCCTCTTGTCCCCTTCCTTCCATGTTCTGCTATGCTCCTCTAACCATCCAGTGTCTCAATAATACCTTCTGGCTGCCCTCAATGCCACCTAGGTAGCTCACTCAGGCCTGCCATCTTCCAGCAATCTATCCCCATGTCTCTTCAAGGAAGACTGCAGATAGGCAGCAGCCATTCCACTTTATTGATTAAAAAAAATGATGCCCTCAATATCATGCTGCAAAATAGTGAAAGAGCAAACAATGAAAACTTGGTTTCCTTAGCTTCTAGTCCTTTAGATGAGATGCTGCCAAAGACCAAGAAAAATACTTTTCACTATTCAATCTCTCTTAACTCTAAATCACAAGACTTTATACAAACCACAGCTAGTCAGATTAGATTATAGTGTATAAAAAAATGAATGTCCTAATGACTAGTAAACTTCAGACAAATCCCCTCCATTTCTAGCAGGACTTTCATAATATATATCAACTGGAATTGTATGAACTAAAAGAATTTGCCACCCCCAAAATATGAATCAAAATAGTGGCTAGTGTTTCATTTCTGTGTTTTAAGAAAGGAATTCAGAATAACAAAGACTGATAATTAAGGAAAAATTTTCTCAATTTTTTTTCTATTTCTCAAAAGCATAAAATAGCAAATAGTTGATTATCCAGTAAAATGATCATCCACTTTACAACCTAAGAAATAAATAGCAAAAATTATTTTTAAAAGTCAGGTAAAAGATATTTAGCTCAAAATTAGTTTTAAGAGTTGAGGTTACACTTTTGTAAATGTCTAATTTACTCAGCAGTAAAGCCACTGCAAGTCACTTTTAGAATTAGGCAGGCTAAAATACTTAAAAATATAATGTTTTATAACAAAAATACAAATTTTAACTTCTAAATTTTAAGATTTATAACAAGAACATATTTTAAGTATTTTCAAAATTTACCTTTTGTTCCTGCAAAAACTGGTCTGCTAACTTTTTAATATTTTCTTCATGCTGTGCTCTTAATTCCTTGATCTGTTGTCCACACTGAAAACTAAATTACAAGTCATTCTTTTAGACTATTATTTTGGATTGATTCTCAAAGATGTCTAGAAGTTGAAAACATACATTTATAAGGATAAAGCATTCAGTTAGCAGGGGAGTGGGTAGGGAAGGACAACGAGCAGACATAAAAATAGCTCACAGTCAAAATTCTTACAATATTTGAACCTTTAACAGAGGATAAAAATATTGATAAAACTAATTAAAAAACAGAAATTAGAAAGATGAAAATTTATTTTTATAAATTGCATTTATAAAGAAACAACTGTCAAAGTCAACTTCAATCATAGAAGAGAAAAACACTTTAGAAAACTGTAAGACCAATATATAGTAATAGATAAGAAAAGCTAGAATTATAAGAGTTGATAAGGAGTGGCAGCAGATGATTCATCAAATAGTTAGTACTTTCAACGCAATAATAAAAGCCTAAACCATAAGAAGAGCAACAATGGAAGAAACTAATAAAGAAGAGAGAATGCAACCAGCAAGAGAAAATGTAAAGGAACAAAACACATAAAGATTGTGAATTTCCACTGGATGAGTAGTCAAAGAATACAAACAGATCATTCATGCAAAAAGAAACAAAGAATACATACACAGAAAAATGTTATCTTCCATCATTTAAAATGCAAATTAAACTTCTTATATGTATATATAGTACTATCTTATTACTATACTAGCAAAATTAAGTTAGAATTATAAAAGCCAATGTTGGTGGGGCTACAGGGAAACATTTACATTATAAATTAGTATAGTCATTTTACAAAGCAATCTTTCATATATGTGATAAGAGCAACAAGATCAATAAAACATTCCACCTCAGAAGTTCTATATTTGAGAATATAACCAGTGAAATAACGTAAGAGGGGGAAAATGCTTTTTGCACAAAGATTTTTATAGTTGATAGTCATAACAGTGAGAAAAGGAAAACTCCTACAATGGTCCAGCAGTTGGGAGAGATTAAACAAGCTTTGGTACACTAACATGCTGGAATAATATTTCTTTAATCCTAAAGGTATATATATAAAATTACTGAATGCTATTAGATTAAGACACATATATGTAACTAGATGCATACTGATAACCTACAAGAGTAAGAAGTCAGAAATGGATAAACAGTTTAAAATACAGTGAATCTTTCTAATTTTTGTTGTGTAGACCCAAAAATACCTTTAACTGAAAAACTGATTTAATACACAATAAACCCTTTTAAAGAGTAATTCTAGAAAGGCCCCTAAGAGGTTTCCCAACCTCATCACCAACAATGCAGAGGTGTAAGCAAGGGGACTGAAGTGCAGAACAGGAGAAGCAGCTGGTGCTTAGTCCCTCAGCTATTCTGGGGATATCTTCCACTGCCAGCTTTATCTTCTGGATTGACCCTCAAAAAGAACCACAGAATCTTCTTTCAGTCTTTGCCACATCTCATTCAATAAAACTCAGACCTTGAAAGATTTTCTGTCTCACAATGAACTCTACTACATGGGTAGATTCAACATGCCTTGTAAGAGATATTTTCATGTTGTTCAACATATCAAAATAAAAGAGTGATTTCAAAGAGGCATAGAAAGATAACAGAAAAGGAACTTAAAAGACCTAGTGAAATGAAAGAAGAAAAACAAAAGCCAGAAAGGAAGAAATGAATTGAAAGTTGGACAAATATTCAAGATTCGTAAATATTTGTTGCATGTAGCATCTTACCTCTCATATTCTAACCTCTTCACAAGGTAAGTACTGTTCTTCCTATAGTCCTGGAGCTGGTCTTCTTGTCGAAGAAACTCCTGACGAAGCTCAGCGAGTTGCTCTATCCACAGAAGGTAAAAATCAAAGGAATGAAGTTTACTTTACTGCTTCCCATTGAGAAGGTATGGGCTGTTCAAAAATTATATACAGGAAGTTAAATTTATATAATTAGTACCACATTTAATTGCCTTTCATACACGTGCACGGGCAATAAAACAAGATAGCCTCAGTGGTTTCACATAAATCAGAAATATTAAAAAATTATACATCTTTTCACATTATGTAGACAATATGCTAAGTTGTAGAAATAGTACAAAAAGAACTATCTCTCTAAACCTTACTGCTTTATAAAAGTAGGGAAAAAATCATATTTTTTAGGTGTATTGGTTATAGGTACAGAATTCAATTCATTCTAAATCATACTTGATTCCCAAATTAGGTACCAATCATTTTAGATCTCATTTCTAGTTCTGCTACTGAGGTTTATGTCCACATATACCAAAATTCCATTTTCAAAGCTTATAACCTCCAGACTAGAGCTAAAAGTTTTAGCTGTAATGAATAACATGAAATTTCAAACTGGACAGTAAATTAAAAGCTGGACCAGATCCCCTTTGGGAACCTTTAATCCATCATCACTGGCCCCACATTTTCTAGTCACTTCCTCTTTATCTAACCCTACAAATAAAAGAAATTCAGCCAGAAAAGAGAAACGTCAGTTTCTTGGATAGAGGATTAAAAAATTAGCCAACAGCCTTAGAAGTTAAGCAAAAGTAGTAAAGAAAGTTTTAATTTTTATAAATGGGAACAGAGGTCTATTCTGTATAAGCAATAATGACTTATTAAGATTAAAGTATAATATCTAACCATAATGTACAATATTATAACTATAACATAACATCTACTTTTCATAGAGGGCTTACAGAAATAATCTTGTTACTTTAAAGGCACTCAAAAAATGCTTGTGATGTAAGTTTTTAAAAAGCAGATATAAACATATATTTATAATATAAAATATATCCATGTAAAACAGATGAGAATAAAAATATATCAAAATGCTACCAGTGATTACACTTAGTGGTGGGATTCTGAGCATATTTTTTCTCTACTTTCTAAATTTTATTGTGGAATCATAACTATGGTGATGACAAAAAGTAAAAATGTTAAAGTCACATGAACGTTTGTTGAAGTATATAAAGTTTAACAATATGCATAATAACAGCCATTGTATAGTATTAATAATCAAATATGAAAAGTAAATGATTTACATAAAGTGCTTATAGGTAGTAAATATGCTTGCCTATTCAAGCCACATTTTTATTATTATTTTTAAAATTTATTTTTTAAAATTTATTTATTTATTTATGGCTGTGTTGGGTCTTCGTTGCTGTGTGCTGTCTTTCTCTAGTTGTGGCGAGTGGGAGCTACTCTTTGTTGCGGTGCACGGGCTTCTCACTGCGGTGGCGTCTCTTGTTGCGAAGCATGGGCTCTAGGCACACAAGCTTCAGGAGCTGTGGCATGTGGGCTCAGTAGTTGTGGCACACGGGCCCTAGAGCACAGGCTCAGTAGTTGTGGTGCATGGGCTTAGTTGCTCTGTGGCATGTGGGATCTTCCCAGACCAGGGCTCAAACCCGTGTTCCCTGCATTGGCAGGCGGATTCTTAACCACTGCGCCACCAGGGAAGCCCTATTATTTTTATTTTAATTGAGATATAACATTGTGTAAGTTCAAGGTGTACAACATGTTGATTTGATTCACTCACATATTGTGAAATGATTACCATCGTAGCATTAGCCAACATGTCCACCATCTCACATAATTACCACTTTTTTTGTGGTGAGAACATTTAAGATCTACTGTCTTAGCAACTTTCAAGTATATAATACAGTCTTGTTAACTATAATCACCATTCTGTATATAGATCACCAAAACTTATTCATCTTATAACAGTTTGTACCCTTTGACCAACATCTCATTTTCCCCACACACCTCCCAGCCCCTGGTAACCACCATTCTACTCTCTGTGTCTATGAATTTAGTCAAGTGACATTTTAAATTTCTCTTCTTACTCTATTAATTCTCCAATATATAAACACAGTTGATTTCTGTAGCTTTTCACATTACTCCCACCCTAGATAAAAGTAACAAATCTGAGGTCAGGTATCCCTGAATAACATATTCAGCTTGTTACCTGATCCCTGGTCCCATTTACTAAGAAATAGAGGGCTAGAGGTAGCAGAACTCTGGCCTCAGCTATGGATGTTGAGTCTACAGAAACAATGAGATCCCAGCAGGAGGCAGTGACAAAAAGCCTTGTAGTTTACAGACAGTGTTAGCCAGTTCCCTGAAACTGTACTCAAGAAGGAAATATTTTAGAACTGAAAGTTACTACAATTAAAAAAAAAAAAAAGAAAAATCAAATCAGCACTACCTAGTAGCTACTAGGGAATGGACCTCAACTGGTGGTCAGGACTCATTCAGGCTTCTTTTTCCTACACAGTAAACTAACTGAAGCAGCTAAGTTTACCTTCAGAATGAACCTGAGGCTTAGTATGATTTTAAGATTTGGGATGGCTTCTCTGCCTCCCCACAAAGTTTCTCACTAACAATATTTGAAATACCTTTATCAGGAAATAAAGTTTTCATTTTTAAATGGAGATAGAAGGCTTAAAATTCAATTGACAGAAAAATAAAACATCAGTATGAGTGAGTTCCAGTCCATGTAAAATATCAGATTCTAACCTATTTGAATACAGGGAAAGGATTATAAAGCATGCAGCAGATTGATGCTTTGAGTGGGCCAAAATAAAGACTTGAAAGGGGACAAGTAGAGTTCTCTGGTGGTATAGTGGTTAGGATTCGGTGCTTTCACTGCAGTGGCCAGGGTTCAATCCCTGGTTGGGAAATTGAGATCCCGCAAGCTGCATGGCGTGGCCAAAAAAATGGGGGCAAGGGGAGTAAACAGATCAGAATGCAAAACTAAAGACAAAATTTTCCTATATCACAATTTTACTTTCAACTGATTGCCATGTGTTTTCTTCATTTTAAACCCAAAGATACTCTGTGTCTAATGTGGCTGCTCTAGGTCACCACAGCAGGATGCTCGGAGTAACTTTTTTTTTTTTTTTAATTTTTGGCTGTGTTGGGTCTTCGTTGCTGCACGTGGGCTTTCTCTAGTTGCCGCAAGGAGGGGGGGGGCTACTCTTTGTTGCAGTGCACAGGCTTCTCATTGTGGTAGCTTCTCTTGTTGCGGAGCACAGGCGCTAGGCTTGCAGGCTTCAGTAGTTGTGGCACGTGGGCTCAGTAGTTGTGGCTCGCGGGCTCTAGAGCGCAGGCTCAGTAGTTGTGGTGCATGGGCTTAGTTGCTCCGCAGCATGTGGGATCTTCCCAGACCAGGGATCAAACCTGTGTCCCCTGAATTGGCAGAGGGACTCTTAACCACTGCAACACCAGGAAAGTCCCCAGAGTAACTTAATATGAGATCAGGTCCAAGGTTGATTGTGCAGGGTAGTCTAGCTCTGACAGTAATATCAGGGTATGCTATAGAAAGATATGGCCATAATCTCTCAATTTAACTTCTAGGATGATCTTTTAAAGCCAAAAAAGAAATTTACTTCTGGAAATTTTTTATTGCAAATTTTCTTTCAGTAATAGGAATAAAAATAAGGTAAGCTATTCAGAATAAATCAGTGTATAGTAGAATGTTAATTTACTGTCTCAGGCATTAAAAACCAACCCTAATCCTCTTATTTCCAAGAAAATATTAAAAGATTTTTTTTAGGATCTTGATGTGTATTAATTCCATTATATCCGACATTAATGCCAATGAAAATAGTCAAATATGGATTTTACTGTCAACTTGTCAAGAAGTTTGTTGCAGCAGAAAGAGTTCCCAGGGTGCAAAAGTCACATTAATGAAATTCAATCCCAAGCATCCAAGCTTCAGTAACTGCACTAAAACCAAAAGTTGCATGGTATGAGTTCAAATCAAAGCTTTTTTCTCTGCTAAAGATTACCATCAAAATTTCAAAACATCTCAAGATCTACTTCAACACATACAGCAAAATAAAGATTTTTACTCAGTAACATAGGCTGTCATTTTCTCTGACATGTACTAGCAAAACCCATAGGACTTCCTATTCAACTGATCTATTACTATTTAATAAGAAATATACTTGGATGACAAGCAAAATCATTTGTAAAAACTGCAAGCTGGAAGCAGCACTGACAGTGTGCCATCTCCTGTGTCATCCTGTGCACTCCTGTGAGTCAAAAAGAGTAGAATATGGACACATATGCAACAACAATAAACGTGGCCAACCAGAAAGTAAATTTTTAATAGAAAATAAAAGCTGTTCTAAATCATAGATAGTAAAAAATTAATAATTCCTATGTCTGGGTTATAACACACAAATGATATTTCCTAATGGATTTGCTAGGTGAGAAGCAAAACTTACATAAATTACAAAGTCAACATAGGTTGACTTTTTCAAGAGGATGTTTGAAAATATATTACCTGGGATGTCCCTGGTGGTGCAGTGGTTAAGAAGCTGCCTGCCAATGCAGGGGGCACAGGTTCGATCCTCAGTCTGGGAAGATCTCACATGCCGCGGAGCAACTAAGCCCGTGTGCCACAACTACTGAGCCTGTGCTCTAGAGCCCACAAGCCAAAACTACTGATCTCGTGCGCCCCAACTACTGAAGCCCGTGAACTCTAGGGCCCGCATGCTATAACTACTGTGTGCTGCAACTACTGAAGTCCGCGTGCCTAGAGCCCGTGCTCCACAACAAGAGAAGCCACCGCAATGAGAAGCCCACACACTGAAATGAAGAGTAGCCCCAGCTCATGGCAACTAGAGAAAGCCCACATGCAGCAACAAAGACCCAACACAGTCAATAAATAAATAAATAAATAAAAATAAATTTGAAAAATATATGCATGTATTACCTAATTCTATCTAAATAGGTTTAAAATGGTTATAAAGATATAGTTATGAAATTAGAGAGCAAGTATTACCCACATATATAAACTCAGAGTCACTGCATGCAAAGTTTTAAAATATATAGTGTTGTAATCAAAAGGTATGAGGGAGAAGTGGGATAGTCCTCAGACCCCAAACTCCAGTGACAGTGTGAAGTAATGTAAGCAGACGATAGAGCTTGTTCTCTACCTATTATTTTTCATAAGAGCTTTAGTCATCTCCTATCACTTCATCTAAGTGAAAAAAAATCTGTCTTCTTACTTTCTTTCTATCTACCTACCTACCTACCTACCTATCAAATCCGTCTCCAGGTTTCTTCCCAGTTTTTGTTGCAGGTTTCTTTGATCCTGGGCTATCTAAAACATTAAGTTTGGAGGATCTTTCCAAAGCATCCCTAGATCTGAATGGATTATTTTAGCAGATTGGACACAGTACAGAGGAATCATCCCTAACCTTTTCCCTAGAAATCTGACAGTCTCCGAAGTTACACCTCAATTTTCTCTCAGGATTCTTCTAACATTTCATTGCATGAGCTCTGTCTACAGCACAAGATTAAAATGCAGACCTCAAATATTAACTTGCACTTATTATATATAAAGCAACATTAAAAATTTTTCATTATATCTTAAGACAAAAGGATAAATGTTTTGCCATCAGAGGAGCTTTGTTCAAAAATTCTATTTCATTTAGCTGTTTAACTTGAGGATTTCTTAATTCTTCAGGATTTTAGACATTTAGTGACCTTTATCTTTAATCTGTAATTAAGTTTCTTACCCTTTAAATGATGTATGTCTGCCATCTGATATGATATGTTGTTCTGCAGTTTAACCTGAAAAAAAAATCATTTTCATTTTACTAAAGAATATGTAGCTTTGCTCATATTTACTTTTTTTCCCTCATATTCACTTTGAGCTTGATCATAAGTACAAAAGAAAAATCCTTAAGTTATGCATACCACACCACTTTCCAAAAAGAATTAGAAATAAGTTCTGATTTTGTAATACTCATTTAAAATTTACACAAGAATATTCATTTTACTTAATATATAGTATAACAATTTTCAAGTTTTTAAGTTTGATTCCAAAGGATGGAGGATGAGACCATAGGAAAAAGAACAAACATCTTCCTTTCTTCATCTCCCAAACATTCAGAGGGTATCCTCCGTTGGAAAAGAACCACCAATGCTTCTCCAGTTCTTTTTAGGGTAAAGGCAGTCTGAAATCTCTGCCTAGAACTTGAACAACAGTGAAGAAGAGCACCTTTTATCATCAAAGCCATGTGGATGAAAGGCTCTTGGTGCTGCAGCCAGGAGTCAGTGCTGTGCCTCTGAGGTGGGAGAGCCAACTTCAGGACACTGGTCCATAAGAGACCTCCCATCTCCACATAATATCAAATGGCGAAAATCTCCCAGAGATCTCCACCTCAACACCAATACCCAGCTTCACTCAACGACCAGTAAGCTACAGTGCTGGACATCCTATGCCAAACAACTAGCAAGACAGGAACACAACACCACCCATTAGCAGAGAGGCTGCCTAAGATCATAATAAGTCCACAGAAACCACAAAACACACCACCAGACATGGACCTGCCCACCAGAAAGACAAGATCCAGCCTCGTTCACCAGAACACAGGCACTAGTCCCCTCCACCAGGAAGCCTACACAACCCACTAACCAACTTTAGCCACTGGGGACAGACACCAAAAACAACGGGAACTACGAACCTGCAGCCTGCATAAAGGAGACCCAAAACACAGTAAGATAAGCAAAATGAGAAGACAGAAAAACACAAAGCAGATTAAGGAGCAAGATAAAAACCCACCAGACCTAACAAATGAAGAGGAAATAGGCAGTCTACCTGAAAAAGAATTCAGAATCATGATAGTAAAGATGATCCAAAATCTTGAAAATTGAATAGAGAAAATGCAAGAAACATTTAATAAGGACCTAGAAGAACTAAAGATGAAACAAGCAATGATGAACAACAAAATAAATGAAACTAAAAATACTCTAGAAGGGATCAACAGCAGAATAACTGAGGCAGAAGAACGGATAAGTGACCCGGAAGATAAAGTAGTGGAAATGACTACTGCAGAGCAGAATAAAGAAAAAAGAACGAAAAGAACCGAGGACAGTCTCAGAGACCCCTGGGACAACATTACACGCTCCAACATTCAAATTATAGGGGTTCCAGAAGAAGAAGAGAAAAAGAAAGGGTCTGAGAAAATATTTGAAGAGATTATAGTTGAAAACTTCCCTAATATGGGAAAGGAAATAGTTAATCAAGTCCAGGAAGCACAGAGAGTCCCATACAGGATAAATCCAAGGAGAAACACGCCAAGACACATATTAATCAAACTGTCAAAAATTAAATACAAAGAAAACATATTAAAAGCAGCAAGGGAAAAACAACAAATAACATACAAGGGAATCCCCATAAGGTTAACAGCTGATCCTTCAGCAGAAATTCTGCAAGGCAGAAGGGAGTGGCAGGACATATTTAAAGTGATGAAGGAGAAAAACCTACAACCAAGATTACTCTACCCAGCAAGGATCTCATTCAGATTTGATGGAGAAATTAAAACCTTTACAGAAAAGCAAATGCTGAGAGAGTTCAGCACCACCAAACCAGCTTTACAACAAATGTTAAAGGATTTTCTCTAGGCAAGAAACACAAGAGAAGGAAAAGACCTATAATAACAAACCCAAAACAATTAAGAAAATGGGAATAGGAACATACATATTGATAATTACCTTAAATGTAAATGGATTAAATGCTCCCACCAAAAGACACAGACTGGCTGAACAGATACAAAAACAAGACCCATATATATGCTGTCTACAAGAGACCCACTTCAGACCTAGAGACACATACAGACTGAAAGTAAGGGGATGGAAAAAGATATTCCATGCAAATGGAAACCAAAAGAAAGCTGGAGTAGCAATTCTCATATCAGACAAAATAGACTTTAAAATAAGGACTATCAGAAGAGACAAAGAAGGACACTACATAATGATTAAGGGATCGATCCAAGAAGAAGATATAACAATTGTAAATATTTATGCACCCAACATAGGAGCACCTCAATACATAAGGCAAAAACTAGCAGCCATAAAAGGGGAAATCGACAGTAACACATTCATAGTAGGGGACTTCAACACCCCACTTTCACCAATGGACAGATCATCCAAAATGAAAATAAATAAGGAAACACAAGCTTTAAATGATACATTAAACAGGATGGACTTAATTGATATTTATAGGACACTCCATCCAAAAACAACAGAATACACATTTTTCTCAAGTGCTCATGGAACATTCTCCAGGATAGATCATATCTTGGGTCACAAATCAAGCCTTGGTAAATTTAAGAAAATTGAAATTGTATCAAGTATCTTTTCCGACCACAACGCCATGAGACTAGATATCAATTATAGGAAAAGATCTGTAAAAAATACAAACACATGGAGGCTAAACAATACACTACTTAATAACGAAGTGATCACTGAAGAAATCAAAGAGGAAATTAAAAAATACCTAGAAACAAATGACAATGGAGACACGACGACCCAAAACCTATGGGATGCAGCAAAAGCAGTTCTAAGAGGGAAGTTTATAGCAATACAATCCTACCTTAAGAAACAGGAAACATCTCGAATAAACAACCTAACCTTGCACCTAAAGCAATTAGAGAAAGAAGAACAAAAAAACCCCAAAGTTAGCAGAAGGAAAGAAATCATAAAAATCAGATCAGAAATAAATGAAAAAGAAATGAAGGAAACGATAGCAAAGATGAATAAAACTAAAAGCTGGTTCTTTGAGAAGTAAAACAAAATTGATAAACCACTAGCCAGACTCATCAAGAAAAAAAGTGAGAAGACTCAAATCAATAGATTTAGAAATGAAGAAGGAGAAGTAACAACTGACACTGCAGAAATACAAAAGATCATGAGAGATTACTACAAGCAACTCTATGCCAATAAAATGGACAACCTGGAAGAAATGGTCAAATTCTTAGAAATGCACAACCTGCCAAGACTGAATCAGGAAGAAATAGAAAATATGAACAGACCAACCACGGGCAATGAAATTGAAACTGTGATTAAAAATCTTGCAACAAACAAAAGCCCAGGACCAGATGGCTTCACAGGCGAATTCTATCAAACATTTAGAGAAGAGCTAACACCCCTATCCTTCTCAAACTCTTCCAAAGTATAGCAGAGAGAGGAACACTCCCAAACTCATTCTACGAGGCCACCATCACCTTGATACCAAAACCAGACAAGGATGTCACAAAGAAAGAAAACTACAGGCCAATATCACTGATGAACATAGATGCAAAAATCCTCAACAAAATACTAGCAAACAGAATCCAACAGCACATTAAAAGGATCATACACCATGATCAAGTGGGGTTTATTCCAGGAATGCAAGGATTCTTCAATATACGCAAATCTATCAATGTGATTAACCATATTAACAAATTGAAGGAGAAAAACCATATGATCATCTCAATAGATGCAGAGAAAGCTTTTGACAAAATTCAACACCCATTTATGATAAAAACCCTGCAGAAAGTAGGTGTAGAGGGAACTTTCCTCAATATAATAAAGGCCGTATATGACAAGCCCACAGCCAACATCATCCTCAATGGCGAAAAACTGAAAGCATTTCCACTAAGGTCAGGAACAAGACAAGGTTGCCCACTCTCACCACTCTTATTCAACATAGTTTTGGAAGTTTTAGCCACAGCAATCAGAGAAGAAAAGGAAATAAAAGGAATCCAAATCGGAAAAGAAGAAGTAAAGCTGTCACTGTTTGCAGATGACATGATACTATACATAGAGAATCCTAAAGATGCTACCAGAAAACTACTAGAGCTAATCAATGAATTTGGTAAAGTAGCAGGATACAAAATTAATGCACAGAAATCTCTGGCATTCCTATATACTAACGATGAAAAATCTGAAAGTGAAATCAAGAAAACACTCCCATTTACCATTGCAACAAAAAGAATAAAATATCTAGGAATAAACCTACCTAAGGAGACAAAAGACCTGTATGCAGAAAATTATAAGACACTGATGAAAGAAATTAAAGATGATACAAACAGATGGAGAGATATACCATGTTCTTGGATTGGAAGAATCAACATTGTGAAAATGACTCTACTCCCCAAAGCAATCTATAGATTCAATGCAATCCCTATCAAACTACCACTGGCATTTTTCACAGAACTAGAACAAAAAATTTCACAATTTGTATGGAAACACAAAAGACCCCGAATAGCCAAAGCAATCTTGAGAACAAAAAATGGAGCTGGAGGAATCAGGCTGCCTGACTTCAGACTATACTACAAAGCTACAGTAATCAAGACAGTATGGTACTGGCACAAAAACAGAAAGATAGATCAATGGAATAGGATAGAAAGCCCAGAGATAAACCCATGCACATATGGTCACCTTATCTTTGATAAAGGTGGCAGGAATATACAGTGGAGAAAGGACAGCCTCTTCAATAAGTGGTGCTGGGAAAACTGGACAGGTACATGTAAAAGTATGAGATTAGATCACTCCCTAACACCATACACAAAAATAAGCTCAAAATGGATTAAAGACCTAAATGTAAGGCCAGAAACTATCAAACTCTTAGAGGAAAACATAGGCAGAACACTCTATGACATAAATCACAGCAAGATCCTTCTTGACCCATCTCCTAGAGTAATGGAGATAAAAACAAAAATAAACAAATGGGACCTAATGAAACTTCAAAGCTTTTGCACAGCAAAGGAAACCATAATAAACAAGAAAAGACAACCCTCAGAATG